GGAAAAGAATGGCAATTTACTAACTCCTATCACAGAAGTTAAGTTTTCTTCATAGTATTCATACTGTCTTACTGACTCATAACCAGCATAAATAGAGAAGTGATACTTTGTTGGCAGGAACAATCAAATTATCAAGGTATATGCACATTTACCTATAGTAAGATTATGTACAGCACTAGCACAGATGTAGCGTAGGTACAGTAACAGTATCTTGCAGTTTAGAGTTTTATTTCAGTTTTTCTGACAAATTGTGGAGATATAATATAATAGTCTCTGTCTCAGAGCAAAGTCACTGATTACAAAGTTTATGGAAATGATGCAGTGTGTAAGGTTCTTTTCCTTGATGGCACAGAAAAAATGAGACATTTAAGCTTCAAAGTGACAGTATTTCTGTAGACAGGCTGGGTTAGAAGAAACCATTGTTTGTTCTGTAAAATCAAATGTCATGATGTACAAGTTGTTACAGCTGCTTTGTTTTCATTTCACTTATTTTGAACATTGGCTAGAAGACTGAGTATTTGGATGGAATTTCTTTATGATTTTACCATAAGCCCATAATACTTATTTAAATACCAGAAGCAACGTTAATTAGTCTCTAGAATTATTATCATTTGTGAAATTATGACAAAACAGCTGTAAATGATTGCAGTTTTTCCAGACTTCAAAATTACTGATGTTACAAAGGTGCTGTTTTATCAAATTCTGAAAACTATTCTTATGAATGCCAGTTTTACAGTGTGTCCACAAAGTCCCTTCGGGTTTTTGAAAAATTGTGGCGCGCAAACAAATTGAGCTAGCCACATGCGGTTTGCAGCAGATTACAGTGAAACTCTGGACGTTTTTTACTGACCTCAGTAGACCTCGATGTGGGCGATGACATTCGAGCTCTTGCCATGTTCTGTGGAGTATATCCGCTGGAATAGCCGAGATCGCATTCCTGATACGGGTCTTCAGGTCATCAAGTCCGTTTACTGGTGTTCGGAATACATTGCTCTTGACATAACTCCACAGGAAACAATCCAGTGGTGTTATGTCTGGTGAACGTGGAGGCCAAGGCATTGGACCGTCTCCACCAGTTAACGGACTTGATGACTTGAAGACCTGTATGATCTCGGCTATTCCAGCAGACATGACAAGAGCTCGAATGTCATCTGGACGTTACCAAGGTAGCCCACATCGAGGTCTACTGAGGTCAGTAAAAAACTTTCAGAGTTTCACTGTAATCTGCCGCAAACCACATGTGGCTAGCTCAATTTGTTTGCGAGCCACAATTTTTCAAAAGCCCGAAGGGACTTTGTGGACACACTGTATAATTTAACACTTATCCCTTGAATAAAATTACATATCTTTTCCTATACAGTTCTGATTTATTTCATGTATTAGTTTGAATAGTCTCATTCATCATGAGAAAAGCACACTGAATAATTTTAAATAATTCCAATTGATGGCAGATTGTTGTTGCAGTGCTGTCTGAGTCCCATATCCATACACATGAAAATAACTTCGGAAATTATAAATTATTTAAACAATATTTTAGTGTCAGGATTCCTAAGACAGTGGGCAGATAAGGGTTAATGTTTGGTATGTAATTGATATCTGCACTTTAATTGTACAAGTGTCATCCTACTTATAAACTGGATTTAAGCATATGTTGCTTAAAATTCACTTACTTCCAGTTTATATTTTAAATGGCATGTTGTAATTCTTGTTTTGCTTTTCTTCAAATAAATTGTTGAGTTGTGATACTAATTATCATTCTCAGTTTTTATAAAAAATTAAAATCCGTGACATAACAGCTCCAGAGAGCCAAAGCCGACTAGCTTGACTGCTAGCCTCACGTTCACATGCCTAAGCAGAGGTGAACGATCATCCAACCAGATATAGGGTGACGTGTGGTCAGCACGACGAACCCCCAGCCATTGCTAGCTTTCCTGACTGGATTACGCTACCCATTGTAGCTCCCCAATTTCCTCACGATGCTGGGTTGGCACCGGTCGAAAGCTCATGAGAAGATTTCTTCTTTCCCGAGACTCGAGCCAGCGTGCATTCCGTATCGCCGGTCCGAAGCATGATGCCTCAGACTGTGCGGCTATGGCGCGGGTCTCTCAGTTTTTATAATCTGAGTTAAAACATAGAAGTTAACCCTTTTACACATCTAATGCAGCAGTACATGGTAAGATTAAATGTCTCCTGTTACATATGTAATGAAACAATTCATAAAGGACATTTAAATTAACTGGTTTGATGGTGTGTCAGGACACATGACTTTAAATACTGAGACACACAGGTGGCTTGTATGATGTACTTGCATTTTGTTTTTGTTCATTTAGCCTACTAGTGCAATTTTATTTTAAATGTATATCAAAATCCCCATTTAATGTTTGTCAGGTTTTAAATAAACTTCATGCTGAAGAAAATCCTGAAAGGAAACATTTAACTCTTAAGATTGTGGAGGTAAGGTATGAAGTTCAGAATATGCTCAACCACTTGCCAGTGGTGAATCAAAGACTAGTAGCTCATAAATTTTTAGAATTTTCCATGTTTTATTTGTTGTTTAACCACTGATTTTCAGTTCCAGTTGCATTACTTGCATAATACAAGGCTAGGAAGAAGATTTAATTAAGTGCTTAATAGATGTAAGTTGTATTTTTTTCATTATGGTTGGGATCATAGAAAATCATCACAGAATGGGGTAAAATTTTATAATGAGAATCATTAAGTGGGGATTTTACTACACATTTTTGCTCGGTGTAGTAGGAGCTATATTTTCATCCAGCATTATCAAGAAATCTTCTTATACTTGAAGAATGTTGATGATTTGATATTCAGTTAGCAGTTAAATCTATAGCTTGGCCTTTTATTTGCTCTATTTTGTAAATTTAATTTATGTGGTTAGCAGTATTAAACCATGAGAACCCCATGTGCCTCCACACTGAATAGTGATAATGTTCTTCCAATACAAAGATTAGCTGAAGTCAAACTATAGATAAAATGAAGATCAAACAATTGTTGTTCATAGAAACTTTACCTTTCTTGTGAAAAATAATATTTTGAAAGAAGTACTTATGAGGTGTATCACATTTATTGGTTAATAAACTTTGTTTTTACAAGATTTGTGATTATGTAATTGTTATATAAGAATGGAATTTCATTTTGTTTGCATTTGTTAGAGAACTCTTTTTTCATAGTTGAAATAGCCAGTTGTATTCATGAATGGTATATTTAACAAAATGGAGTTGGATAACTTGTCATTTCTGAAAGAAAAGAAAAAATGTATATGCATATAGAGCAGCATTGTTTGACTCGTAGAAAATACATAGAACGTTGAAGGTTAATTCAGTTTTGATTCTTTAAGGTTTCGTGGCAGTGGTTGTGTCATTACAGTATTTGTTTGTAATATAATTGGTGGTTACACAGCAGGTTCCTTCTTTAAATTAGTTCACATTATTTATTTATTTGTAGTGTTCTGTCTGACGACAGGTCCATATATTATGAACAGGATCCTTCCAACCTCTTCAGGTTGTCAGGACCTGCTCATACATATATATGTTCTTGGCAGAGATGATCAGAAGTGGTTTGCCATTGCCTTCTTCTGTGTGTGAGTGGAGTAATTGTTGGGATGCCACGGAGAAACCGGGGAAGCCCCCGGAGGAAAACTCCGTGATGCCTAGACCACGGCCTTGCCCAACACAAGTTATAAATTTGAGCACCACCGGGAATTGAACCCGGGACCCCAGGCTTACAAGGCTAGTGTTCTGACCGCTAGACCACTGTGGCGAACTTCACATCATTACGGTTGATTATTTCCTATATTGATGTCTGTCACTTCACAGTCACAGTACTGGTTATCTGTATCGTAATGCTGTTCTCTGGTCTCCTGACACCAGCCAGTAACTGCTCACTCCATCCATTTCACCAGTCACTGTGAGGTCTGCTCATTACTTTGACGTTAGGTTGGCTCGTTGCAGGATCTCATTCTTATATGAGAACACGGACCAGACTACAGCTTTGGGAAGGTTCTGGATAGCTGTAGTGTCTGGCATCATTCCAGATGCTAGCAGAGGTTTATGGAACGTCCTAGCAATTATGTTTATGTATGATGATTGGCCAGCTGTGACATCACCACAAGCAGGCAAGAATGGGGGAGGGCACCCATTATAGTCAAATCTTGTGACAGTGCAGTATATATATATAAAGTGTATATGTTGGTGTTTTTGAAAGAATGCAATGACTGATAAGTCTGAAAAAAGTATCTGCTGTTAGTGTTCGCATCAGTCATCAATATGGATGGCCACCCTGATCGTTCTTCATTAATGACACTTGTTCAGCCACTTTTGAATCTCTGTCCACTCATACACACTGTAGCAAAATACTGTCACCATACTGTGTTCACGGTCTGCAATGAATTTTTGCACCTCTGACACCTTCAGCGTATACATGTCTAATCACTGTATCCTGCTCTTCTTTGGTACATGTGATGAAGTGAAGCAGCCGTGTTGATGACATTAATGGCACAAGACAATGACTGGTCAAGTTCAAACATCATTACATCAGAGATTTTGTGCTTGTGGTTGCATATGCAATCATACTAGGATTTTTGAAAAAAAATTACCTTTCTTGTAACTGTAAATATGAGTCTAACCCTTCTTATTTTCACATTATTTGGCCCTGTGATACAAACTTGTGAGAGATTTTTAACATTGAAAATAAAAGGGATGTTAAAAGATGTATTTATTTAGATTGAGCTTGTAACTGAAAAAACTGCCATTTTTATCAATGTTGTATAAATAATTATATTTACAAAAATAATTTGAAGTAACAGGACTATATAATGCAAATAACAGTAATAATAATGACATTTTGGGGGGATCTTTTTTGTCCTTGAAAAATTTGTGGGGCGTTTTGTTAACACTGAACTTCTAAAAGATGCCTAACGTGAACAAGTTAGATATTTGTGATGCATTGTGTTTCTTGCACCTTGCAGAAAAGTTATGTTTATGACCCTCTACATTGAATAAAAGTTTATGAAAAAATACCAGCAGTTAATAGCAGAATAATGCTTGTTCAGATTAAGTCGTGATGCACTGAATTAAATAATTATGTCATGTAAATTGTCATTCTTTAACAGTAGAATTAAGTACTGCCAGCATGTTAACATGGTTTAAAATGGTGGAGAAGAACTGGAATTCATTGCAATTATTGCACACTGCTGCTCACCAGCTTGTAAATTGAATTTGTCTTGTATGAGCATATGATGATGATAATGCTTATTATAAGAGTCGGTTAAAATTCTCTAATATTACACTGCAGCTTACTGTATCAGCTTCATAGACTATTAACAGAGTAGCTCTTGGTGTAAAACTAAGCTTTGTCTCTGTGGTGGATTATGCTGCTGAGTTAGGTTTGAGGCTTTTGTGGTTGTGTTATTGAGACTTCAAGGTTTCATCACTGTTATTTAAACTTTATGGTAAGCGCATTTAGCACATGGACAATCTTCAAGAGTAATATTTCTTAGAGAATATGAATATTAGAGAGTTACTAATTTTTCTTTCTCAGTTTTGGTTTCTATAAATTTTAAAACTTACGGGTGTTTGTTGTTTTCCCGAGTCTCACAAAACTACCAAAGCCTCATTAACAACCGTAGAAGCAGATAACTGTTTGGTAGGCCTACATGAACTTCTCTGCGTAGGAATTCTAGTGTAGCACAAGAATATCTCTTATGGCAGCAGTGTTGCGACATACAAGAGAATATTTTGTGCACCCTGATGTGGGGAAACAGAAACATTAAATCTGACTTCTTTCTAAAGGCACCATTACAAGTAAAATCCTGTAAGACAATTAGGTCTATTCTTAAAGCTGGGTGTACCACACTATCATTATAGAGCAGTTATATTTTCTATGTATATGAAATAGTTCTTGAACAACTGTGTCACTTCAGATGCCCTGCTTGCACATGTAGTGATTATTAAGATATGAAAGAAATATAAGAATACATTTTAGAAGTTCAGTGTGTAAAGTAGTTAAAAAAGGAGTTTTCTGCAGTAAGCAACTGTAATCATATATCCACTATGGAAAGAATTGTGAACTTGTTTGAAATTTTCCTTAGGACCCATTTGTTGTGAGTAAGAACTAATTGCAAAGTAGAATAGATTTGATGTGAAAGCAGGACACATTTAGAATGCCAGTGAATTTAATATAAAATGATGGGGGTAGATTTTTAAATATCCCATTAATAGTAAATAAATTAATACAAATTAATGTTGAAATATGTGTACAGTATTTGAATACATTTTAAGATATTGGGATACATTTATATGCAATTCCAGAACATTTAAACCAACATGAATAAATTATAATTATTATTAATGAATCACAAATGTTACAAAAAGCCTGATTCTTAGAGAGTTACTGATATGTTGCTTCAGCAGATATACTTTTAAAGAAATACACATCTCATTTTTCTGGAATTTGTTACTTTGGAGTATGAATACAAATTCATAATGAATATTGATGTTAACAGGATTTACAAAAAATTGTCAGAAATGGTGATAATTTGTGAGTGCAATTGCTTTCAGTCTATATTGCTGAGTAAGAATTAAGATAGCCATTTATGTATGTTTATTTCTGTATGCATGATTTATGACAGTCTGTGTACTATATTAATAGCAATTTGAAGAGCAATACATGTTTATGTAATGTACTTTAGATAGGCTTCTTATTGCAGATTATTTAACACACTATTTTGTATGTTTTAAATTGAATTTTTCTGGAATCTGTAAGTGGAAACTGACAGAAATATGCATTGTATAATATTCATCCATTGTGATTTAATTTTGTGTAAAATGTCTTCTGGAAGCAATAGCAGGCAATGTTCCATTCAGCTTATGTAACGATACATTAAGACTAATATTTATTCTGTATACATATCTCATGTAACTACTGAAGTATTGCAAACATAAGGTATGGGTTCATATTTAATGATTTTAAATGTCTGTTGGTTTGTCATAATACATTCCACATATTTGATTCACGAACTTTGGCCCACCCTGACTTCAGGTAATTGTATTTGCATGAAAGGTAAAGACATTTTAATATGTTGTTCGAACTGCTATTTTTCATTTGACAAAGCAAATGTTGTTACAAAGAAATATTTTATTTTGTCCTATACCTTATTGTGTTGTAATGGTGAGTATTGACAGTTTTGATAAATAAAGATGAATTTGATTTTCTGGTTTCTCTTGATGAAAAATATTTGTATATTATGGCCTCATGCTTACCAACATGTTCAAACATTTTGATGTATAGTTAGTAACATCAATCCAGCATGGACACTGGAGGATGAGTTTCAGTTCTAATGAAATTTTACACCCACAAAACCCCTATCCAGAAGTCTGTTAAGTGTGGCAGAGTATAAAAATTGCTCATCCAGTATAATATTTAAAAATGATAATTTCGATTCATTATAATGAAATAAAAGTTCGGCTTAGAATTGGCAGTGGTATTTTCGCATTTTTTGTGACCCACATCTCCAAGTCCCTGGATATTTGTGGGATGTGTTGGCAGCACTGGCAATAATCGGAATTTCTAGAATAATAACTCTTCTATTTAAAAAGAAACAACAATAACACTGCGTCAAAATATGGTATTTTTCGTGCAGTTATGACTAATTCCGCTTCGTAGTGGCATAACGCACACTCTTCATTTTCTGTTGCAATTAAATGACATCTAGTCCGAGCATGTTGAGAGTACTGTGGCAGGTAAGACGTTTAAGGCTTTTCTCTTCAAATAGCAAAGAACTTGCAATGTCAGTTGCCTGGATACCAGAGTATCTCACAGGTTATGAAGCTTCAGAGTGCACATTAAAATCTGGTAAGAATTAACGATACAAATTTTTAAGGTGACGTGTTAGATGTTAATAGAGACATGTATAAATATATACACTTTAAAGGTTAGTTAACAATATATTACGAATCTTAAAATTAATTTTTGCAAGTGGTGAAATGTCAGTATGTACACTTTTGGCATTGTGAATTACATACATATAACAAAAGTCCTTTACGTCAATGTACAAAATCAATGGCAGAAGGAATGCTCTGTCAGAAACGACCCATGTCTGCGATCCGTGTAAGCGACTTTTAATTGGAATTAGGGTATACGGTGGAATGGAATGGGAGATCGCATTTGGATTGGAGTACACTTGCTTCTTATTTATGTTTAGAGAACATTTAATTTATCAGTGGAACTTCTGAAATAGGATTTGTTTCAAAAAAGCTGACCAAAATATACTAATTATGTTGCCATGTAAATAGTTAAGGAAATATTGCCTTGCTTTGTTTTAATTGTTCCGATTTTGAAAAGTTTGCCCAAGTAGCCTGTTATATTTGCTGATGTTTACCTTTTCCTCTTTCATCAATGTTACAAAATAATTGGGTACGTAATTTTGCATCCCTAACTTTTAATAACAGAGTATGCAAACAACAGACCAACCTTGCGTCGAATTAAAGGGCTAATGTGAATGCTGAATTAGAATGAATGTGGAAGGAAGTGGTCTTAAAGTAGATGTCACCGATTATGGCCGCTGACCTTGTAGGGAGTGCCCAGTATGCGGACCACTTAATGAAGGAACGAGTTTCCCTCGGCCAGTACAGTCTGTGTCAGTGCAGCAGTGTAGAAGCCTGATAATTGTTGTCTTGTGACTGCTGTGTTAACAACACGCCACCTGTTCGTTGCAATCTCCTTTCTGGTCATTGATAACGCCTCGAATCACAACACCCAGACAAACCACCGACGTCTTAATCAAAGAAGGATCCTGGTTATTGGAAATAAACATTCCATTTTGTGACAACGTGTTGAAAGCTCAACTGTACGATTTAATCAGATAAGTCAAAGCACAAATATTATGTGATTGATCAGCAGACAAAGAACGTACTGTGCTGAGACTTCCGCCGTACTATCCCGATTTAAACCTCACTGAACTTATTTGGGCAGATGTAGGACAATGGGTTGCAAGCTAGAACACAACATTTAAAATTAAGGACGTCGAGCATCTGTGTCGCCAGAGATTCGAAGAAATTGGGTAAGAGGAATGGGATGATGTATGTCAGCATGTGGAAAACTAGAAAACATTTATTATGACCAAGAAGGCATAATCGAAGACGCTATTGAACATATTATAATTGAAGATAATGGTAGCGGTAGTGATGAATCGAGTGAATGTCAGAAAGCCAAAGTCTGTGAGGAGTAGAAGAATTGGAAGAGGACCGAAGAGTTGTGAAGAATATAAAATTATCTAATACTCTCTACAGTGTTATTTTGTAGTGATATGTAGTGTAGTGAAATCGACTTTCCTGTTTTATATATCGTGGTGATATTTTATTTGGAGTGGACTGTACGCGGCCTGCTGCCATCCCTTCCAGAAACTTCCGGTAAGTGACTCACCGCGAGGTTCCAATTCACAAAGTTCAGCTGCCAAAAACGCTGGAAGGCAGTACAGCGTATTTTGGGTTTCCACCTAGCACTCAATATAGTAGGAAAGTAAAAACGTTCTGCTTGTGTTCCGCATTCGACCTACGATGTTTCATGCGACCCGACTAGATTCTCGAGTTGCGAAGTTTCATATGTTAGAGTTTGACAGTTTAAATTTCAGTGCATGACAAACAGATGGTTGTGTGCCCTTTTATGTTTAAAGTAAATGCAATGGAAATGTGTTTTAATTTGTGTATGCCTGTAAAAAAGAAAAGTAGAACGAAAAATATAGTTCAGGCCTGCGCTTAACCTTGGCATTTTCTTCAATACACAATGTTTAGAGAGGCGAAGAAAACAATACGACAGGAGAGGTCAGTCAGTGCAGTAGGAGAGGGTTGTTACCAGAACAAAACCAGTACATAGTACATCCATTATTTTAGATATGGCGTAATAATGAATGTCTTTGTATAGATCGTTTTGGCGAAGTACAGAAATAAATAAAGCTGTTAATAACATTCTTTTTGAGGCGCAATCGTCTTCCTATATGTTGAGGTTTCAATTAGTACGCCTGCATCCTATTAATGGTGAATTCTCCCACTAACCAAGGTGGATCTATGGCACTGATCGTTCCGCGTACATTCGTTTGAATCATTCCAACTAGCAAGTGTTGTGTGTTAATTCCTTATTCTCCTATTAATTTGTGTGTGTGTGTGCGTAAAAACTAAAGGAAGTTCCATTGTAAGTTGATGTTTTTAGAACAGGTAGTACACACAAGCCACCTGTTCGTGACATTGATTTGACGTGTGTAGGGGTTTTGGGGGGAAAATATTAGTCTATCGCCTAGTCCACCTGGTTGAATAGGAAGTTTTAACCATTATTTCGCATTTTTCCTTTCTTATTAGCATAAAGTAAACAATTTTCGTCACCTGGTTGGTTTAGTTTGTGAATAAATGTTGACAGTTCACTACCTCGTGACGTTCAGTGTCGGGTTCCAGCGCTGTCTCGTATGGCTACCCGAGGCTCGTCTGCTCATTATTCGGTATCTTGTCAGCGTCGTGACGCTAGGCGTCGAGTTTCCGGCGCCGTATGGAGTCCCAAGGCTCATCTCCGCTATATTATAATGTGTCTGCGTGATTTGCCGGCGTCTTATCTTATGGTGTCCCGAGGCTCGTCACTGTTACGCTTATCGTTCCAAAATTCTGAGTCAGCATTCCGTCGTTGTCGTACAGCGCCCCGAGGCTTACTTCACTTTATTTGGAATCTAGTGCTGACATCGGGAAATATACGTCGTGACTCTCGGCGTCGTTTTGCTATTGATTATTCTGAGATAGGTTAGGTGAGGTATTATGTTGGGTTATGGGCTTCCCCTCAAACTTGGCTGGTCTTGGAGTATGGCTTGTTTTTCATTCTGGTTGATCAGACTCAAAAGTTGAATATTAAATTAGTCAAATCTTTTATTAATAACAATGGTACTGCTCATAATATGGGTTTCCAAGATCAATCAGGATGAAGAGGGCTATAATATATTTCATATTTTATATTAATAATATTTTTATTAATCAGCACCAAATATTTATGTATAATCACAAGTTTCCATCTGTCATACTCTTTAGATATTTTTGTATGAAAAAGTTCAATAATTTAATGTCAGAGCCCAGATGAATTGCTAAGCCACATAAGAAATATAAATAAAAGTCCTGGAGCAGTTTATGTCCCTTGTTTCCTATTTCTAACATGGCAGTTGGATAGGAGGTTGGCTAGGCCCAGGGTGCAGAAGCTAGTAGGAAAATCATTTGCCCCTACCAGGGATCAAACTCCGGATGTCTAGTCTGTAGTCAAACATTGTACTGACAGCTACTTCTGGACAGTTTAAATGTTACCATGCTTAGAGGTTAAAGAATCGGCTAGTTTTACCATCAGTCACCTGGTAAGTCTCCTATGGGTTCTTTGCCTTTCATTTTCATTTCAGAGCTCTGCTAGGTATTCACATATTCATTGTTTAACTAGTCCAAACTAATACCATGGAGAAGAGTCCTTCTTGAAGCTAATAATTGCTCAGCTAGAAAAGAAATTTCCTTCCTTTCATACAACCCAAATGACAATCACTGACTTCACAAGTGCCCACCATTGGTCCCTGTCTTGATCCAAATTTAGTCCATAACCTCCCTCCTTACTTAGTTAATATCCAGCTTAATATTATCTTCATATCTATGCCAGAATCTCCAGGTGGTATGTATAAAAAGTGCTGTTATTTTTCTGGTCTGTGACTTAGAAGAATCATTTACCTCCCACCAATACCACAATTGTCTTTTTCATAATTCTACCTTTTTTCCCATATATCCATCCTTTTTTAATATTTTACTTTATCATTCTTACTGAAATTCCTAGTTTTAGCATCATACATTAATATTGTATGTCTTATATACCTGTAATTTATTTCATCTTGGGTCATCCACATTCTAAAGTAATCCTGTTACATCATAATGAAGCAATGTCAGGCCCAGCAAATCAAGAAGGCATTTTAATTTTCCTTCAGAAAAGATAAATACTTTTGAATGTGATTTTATTATGGTCAACCCTTTCAGCCCTTTTCTTTAAAAATGAAATCACTCTAATATTATTCCCTTCTGGAGTAACCCTTTGGTCTTACAGCCCATAGGTTAGGTTTATTATTAGCACAAAATTGGTTATGTTGATTCATTTTATTAGCTTCAGACTGATTATAATAACTAGCAATGATTAATCCATTGGTGTGGAGCAATGAGCTGTATGTACCATGACAAATTTTTAATGTCATGGAGTGATGAACCAATGGAAATTATGAGCAAAATAAGATTACTGAGTAGTGTAACTATCAATTCACAGTTCTTGCTAGCCTCACCATACAGAATGACACATTTGATGGTAAACAGCTATCATGCTTTGTTCCCTCAACTTCTTCTGTATAACTGTACTCTGTCTTTCTCCATCTCTCTATGTGACTCCCTCTCCTACTGTCCCTCGTGCTTTCTCGATATGGGCACAAAAATGTTGCCATTATAAAAAATCATTTTGGTTATGAACATATAATAAAACCAAAATAATACAACTTCAGCCCTTTAAAGATTAACATCATTACTTTATTTTATCTTTAAAATTAGGCCACAAATAATCAACTCTTCAATAATTAACATTTGACTAATTACTTATTACACATGTTACACTCTAATTAAAAGAAAAAAATTATTTCAATGAGGTCCTTCAGTACATAAACAAGGCATTACTGTCTGGAATATTTATCCAATAATGTGAAACTGAACTGCACATATTAGTGTACTCTAGTTAAGGTTGGCTATGCTCACTGATAATTTAAAATGGGAACTTCTTACACTGAAGACAACGTGTTTACAATTATATTGGCTTCATTCCTGTCCTCGGGTAACCGGCTACCATTTATTGTACCAGTTACCATGACAGATTAGTATTCAAAGGTTCTGCATTTGATCCTGTTCATTATCACCATTTTCTAGGATGGATTATTTCATGGCAAAGCCTTTTCCATTATTCTCTGTTCTCCCATAAGCATTCCTCTTGTTACTGTGTTCTTGCTTTCCCACTCACTTGGTCTCTCCACCTTGTTTCTGATCTTCAAAATGTCCACTGCCTTTAATTTTAGCACTCTCAAAGAAACCTTATTGTTGTTCATGTGTATTACACACCCGCGCCAGTGTATCGTTAATTTGATAAACTTTATAGCATTTTACTTGTCTGATGCTTTGGTTTCAGATTTTACCCCTTCATGTACATTTCTTAATTCTCTGCATTAATATAATGTCCACTTCTTTAAGTTGGCTACATCTGTCTCAGTTCACGTTCAAATTGTGTTCCATATGTCAAAATCAGTTTCAGCCATAGCTAAATGTTTTTATTGTAATAATAACCAGTTGCCTAACAATTAAAGTACAATTACTCCTAAAACTGTCATGTATATTAAATAGACAGTACCTGACATACGGTCAGAAGACTAGAGTGACTGAGGATAACACATGGGGGAAAAAAATCAAGTTGAAAATTAGCTTTACCACAGGAACTTGAGTTGTATTACCAAATTAAATATAATAAATTAATTTTATGTTACTGTTATTTTGTTCAGAATTCAATATCCAATGGCAAGGTCCCTTCTGCTCTTGCTTTTTCTACGTTCTGAAAGAAATCAGAAAAATCGACATAAGCGTTTATTCTCGTGTTCCTATCCACAGGATTAGGCCTGTCTGGAAAGAGATCCGATGAACTCTCTGTGGTCGATGTGTCGTTATTCTGATCATCCGTTGTATTGCTTGCAGTAGTATCAGTCAAAGAGTTCTCTATTGTGGAATTATCATCACCTGCACTCCATGATGAGGTTGAAACAGTTGTCACAATGGGATTGAAACGAACAACTGCATTTGTTGGTGAATTTAATGCGTTTGGTAATGGGAAATTAAAATTTCGAACAAGCAGAGTAATATCATCTCGTTTACCAGCCACAGTGAAGTGGCCATCAGGAGATGTTGAACCACTCATGCAGACATCATGATGAATACGAACAATTTTGTCCACAACTGCTTGTGCTACTCCGGTGAGTGTTGACTGGACACGAAACTGCAAAAACACAAACACACACACAGATATATTTCTTTTACATACATTTTAAAGTTTATTGACAAGCATTTAAAGATGATGTGTGTATATCAGAATATCTGTATCACCAACAATCAGAAAACTAATATATGCAAAACATTATTATTCTGCTTTGTCATAGTGTTAGACCTGGCATGAGACAGATGACTGTTTCTTAGTTTAACAACGTTTTCCTAGAAGTATAAGTCGCACAGCAACAAACAGGAGGATGGTTGTAAATTATGAATTAAGAAGGCTGTGGAAGGAAGTCATGACCTATTTTAAGGCACCATCACAGTATTTGTCTGAAAGGAATGAGGAAAACCATGAAAGCTCTTGGATGAGAATGAAGCCTAAGATCCCATGAGTATGAAATGGGACTGTTAACCACTCAACACACTGACAGGACAGCTGTGGTGATGGCGAATATTTAATTAAATACAGAGTGTCCTAAGATCTATACACAACTAACAATGGTCATTTTGAACATTTACATTAGATTTGCTATTTCACAAAGTGCCAATGCTGACATATGTAATGGTTTAGTTTATTAAAATGTCTTTATTTCATTCATTGAATGTGTGTGTACATTCTTTTGGGACTTCTGTATATAAGGAAAAATAATTTATGGCTCTGTGCTATGTAATATCTATATTGATTAATGTTGCAATAAGATAATGAAAGGATTGTAAAGAATACACATGAAAAATATCTGCATATTTCTGTTCTTGTTGGAATTCAGTTCCCACCTGCTCCACAGCCATTTGAGCAATATCTTTGTTTACTTGGTCAGTTCTTGTGGCTTCCACTAGTGACTTATAGAGACCATCAGACATCAACAGTAGAAACCTGCGGAACAACCATAAGACACTCTGAATTTCACATGAAATAATATAGACATATTTATCTTATGGAAAAACTGTACACACACAGTTACAAGATGAATAACAAAAGCAACTTGCAAAGTCTTTTCTGTTAGGAAATATGTGTATGTGCCAGTTATCTTACTTGGTGAGGAACATTTAATTTTAACCACATGTAACATACCAGCCAGTTGCTCTGCACTGCATACAGTTACAGAGTGAAGGGTACAGACATGTCAACTGCTGATACCTGCAAGTCTCATCCAGCTGGATACCACCATGAATTTCAGGCTCAGCAATGACAGGTTCTGCTCTGGCAGTCACCAGCTCATCAAATTCCTTGTAACCACCCTTCACCAAGTAATTTCCAAGACAACGTGTATTCTCCTGATTACCAAGACGAGACCCTGTCACATTATACAAATAATATTAGTTCCAGAGGAATCAAAATATGAAAAAGACTTTCTTTTCTTTATTTTGCATATTTTAAAGTGAAATCATACTTTTAGGAACCTCATTATGAGTTTCCAAAATTTAAGGTTTAAATTGGTATTCACATGTTGACAATATAATTTCTATAATTTGTTACAAGTTTTGCTAATCTTCAGTATTATATTGTACAGTTCTGAGATTCACCAGATTTCACATTAATAGCATTCCATTGTCTCCAAACTCAACATCATCAAAGAACAACTAAAAAAATATAAGTTTCTAAATTTCAACCCAAAACTTCACTTTCAAATCATTCAAGGAAATGAATCTGATTTAAAAGTTTAAAAACTGAAATATTGAAAGCTACAATAATGTGTTACCTTGTCTAAATTTGTCCACATCCAGGCCAAGCTGAGAAAGCCGCAATAGTTCATCTTCATTGCGCAGATCATGATCTACACTGAGCTGAACAACACGCAGCACTCCGTTGGAATCAGTACGGCACAAGAGGGCTCTACTGTCTCCTACATTGGCTACATACAAGCGTCCACTGTAGACTAGGGCCACCACAACTGTGGTACCAGCAGACAGCTCACAGTTGAGAGCATTCAGTTTGTCCACCTGAATAACAAGATGGCTTCCCTATGTAGCATCAACAAGGTATGGATTTGGATTTAACACACACTGCACACATTAAGTAAACAGAGCCTCATGAACAGAAGAACCTAGTCGTACAGTATGTAAACGGCAACATTTCCTCGTGAGCAGCTATCATATATATTTGGGATAATAATTTTATGTCATAAACTCATATGCAAGCAGCATGCAATGCAATTAGCCAACAGACAGCAGTGAGTGTATACATTACAGACCCATGGGACAAGCATCTGTCAATGACACTTTTCCAAAGCATATGAAAATGTAATAAGTATCACAAATTCAATACACATATCAATGGTCATGAGAAAGTATCTAAAAAGACTGCAGAGAAATATGAATTTAAATTGTTTGTCCTTTCACGTACATTTCACATCAAGTGGAGAGAAAAATGGAAGTCAACATACATGTTTTCCATATCTCAGATAATGTAAGTATATGTCTAATTCCTACATTAGCCAACAGATGCTCCAAAACATGTATGAAATAATTTTATTTTCTAATTCACATATATAAAGAAAAAAGTACAAAAATGTTTGCTTTCACCATCCCATTTCATAAAATAATGAGGAAATTGGTTGAAAGGAGGAGCTTCAAAATTTTTCTAAGAAACTTCCTTTCTAAGCAGTGAGCCACAGATTAATAAACATAAGCAACAATAAATTATAAGTACATTTCAAGAAAGAAACTGAAATTCAAAATCTGATGCAAACCAATTAAAAATGAATATAATTCTGTTCACCATTCAAATAAACACAGAAAGAATAAATATTATTTTCATCATTAAATAGATGTCAAATTTTAAAACAGGATATCCATGCTGAATAGAAAATATTTATTTATGCAGGTGGAAACATATGCGTGAATATTCGTGTTAATGCATCTAACTGACATACATTGACTTACATTTAAACACGCTTGTACACAAATAAGTTGATGTTTGAACAATCTTATGACCACATACATTATTTTATGTACATACCAGATGAGGGAACTTTTGATAAGCCTCATAAGAAGTCATACCATCTGGTATCTCATACTGAAGACTGGTCCGCTCAGCTAGTCTGTCATCCACAGAGTCAAGATACCCCTTTTCAACAGCAATGAAGGCCTGCCTAAATCCATAAAGCAATATGTGATTCACTTGCACTTCTTTAGGTTCAAAGTCACAACACATGATAGGTATGGGTTATTTAACAATGCTTAGATCCACATAATATTTGCTTGAAGGTAGAGAGTAAAATCATAAAAATATAAGTATAGTTGACCTCTAGGTTGAGACTGAAACCTGCAATCCTCCAAACATGAAGCAGGACGGCCAATGACTCTGCTGTCTCAGTAATTGGTAGGATACCCAATATAAAGCCTGTCACCTTAACCTTGATCAACTATGCATCAAAGCTTATGGTGATCCATTTGATTGTTGTGCAACACAGTAGCATACCCCTATACAGTTAACCTTACACTTAAAGTGTGGCCAGCATCCATGTAGCACAGACATTTACATCTCTTTCCATGAGATAATTGTGCTGATCCCAACTTTTATGTTGTACACCTTGTTATCATAAATGAGGAAGTGGTGACCAAATCTCATCAGCATTACTTTTGTTGCTGAGGCAATGTCACTACCAAACTTTAAAGTTAATTGGTTTGAGCTTAGTTGGTAAGTTATGGTTTGATTTGTTTCATGTGTTGATAGTCACTAAAATCCTTAACCAAACAACAACAGATGATAAAAATTTAGTAACCAGTTGTAAAGAACAAGAAAGTAAAGCAAGTATGTCAGACTTCATAGCCAAGTCTTAAACCCAACTGTAAGGTGCAGGCCACTTTGTTAGAACCATGGGAAGGAAGACTTGATCAATGCTGAAATCCAGTTTGACATTTCTAATAATTTTTTTAACATTCTTATGTATTCAAAAGTAATGAAGGTAACTGTGGATGGTATTAACTCAGGGGCATCTCCATTGGAGGGCTTTAGTGTTAAATGTTAAACCTTTGGGTTCTGCAGTCATAGAGACAGCTCTTTCCTGTTGTGTCAAGTAGGATCCAATTTATAGTTCTGATATAAGCATGCATTATCTACATTTTGGTATGTTACAAGACAGATTCATACCTGAGAACTTCTTTGATCTCTTCATCACTTGTCTTTCCTGATAACTGGCCAAGCAGAATTTCTGCTGCCATTCGCTGAAGAGCAAATGTGGCTGCCTGCACACCTTCGTGTCCATCAAACACTCCATACAAAAATGTATTATCATCTACACAGCAGTGGAAGCTCCGATCTTCAAACTGATGTTCTTCTTGACGGCATCCATCTTCTCGGTAGATTTGGTTAGTTGAAAAACCAACCCCTACAAGTCAGATAAATCATACTTTTTATGATGGCTGTCTTCTGGGTTGTAGCACCATGTAGTCTGATAGAAGTCTACCAACGTTTAAGAGGTACTTGCTGCCTCTATCATTCATCACTCACTCATCATCTTGATGATGGAGGCAGCAAGTACCTCTTAAACGTTGGTAGACTTCTATCAGACTACATGGTGCTACAACCCAGGAGACAGCCATCTTTATCCTCACTACTCTGAGAACCTCATCCCACTGTACTTTTACCTAGCTTGAAGAGGAAAGTGGCACAATATTATGAGATAAAATTTACAATGCTTAATTAAAATCACATCACTATAGGAATGTCAGGTTAAATTCTGATGGATAGAAACTGAGGCAATTTGCAAAATACTGTTTAAAAAAGAAAAATTTACTGTGGATTCCAATAAATCATAACATAAGTTTACATCAATCTAACTTTAACAGAGGCACCAGTATACAATATGAAGATGCAATTAGGAAAGCATATTTTAGTTTTATATATACCCACACAACATTACTTCCATCTTCATCATCATGTTCAACATAAATGCAACATTACCCGAAAGTCTACAAACTGGCAAATCATCAGTCCAGCTGTGTGTTTCCTGAAAATGGTTGCTTCGGGGTAGCTCGGCTCGTGTTGGCATTGTATTGCAGTTCACCTCACATAAATTCTTTTAACATTGTATGTCAGCATATCACGCCAAAAACACGAGAATTCTTTAATGACACAATACAATGGGAAGAAATTACATGCTCCAACTGATGTGACTGTAAGAGCAGCTGATAACACATTTAGCAATTGTAAAAGTCTTTACAGCAATTGTCAGATATTCTTTATGCGAGGAATGTGAAATTGTCTCAATTTATGTTAATAAAAACCCGAATCATTTCTTAATGAACTGTTTTTATCGGTAAAAGCCAAGAGCTACATTGAAACATCTTAACTTCTAACAGACAGATGACGCTACTCGTACACATATGTCATGGATCTGTAATTTGGCCTTTACCGTACGTTAGTATTATCTATGCTACCTGGCATTGTGACGAAGGCTACGGGCGTTGCCAACTTCTAACATTGAATTATGTTCGTATTTCTGTGCATATGAGTTATAAGACAATATACCGAGTTTAGGAATGCTGTAGTTGTAACACGTTGTGGACACGGTTTAACTTCAAGAATACTACGTAAATATTATCAGAAACTCGAAATATATTTGTGTTGTAGGTTTATCTCACCAAGTAGCTAATTACGTGAGGTGTGGTTCTCATGGTAATGCTAAAAAAACATTCTGGCAGCGTCCACGTGAACCCATAATTTAGGCAGTCAGACAGTCTATAAGGAGTGGTCCTCCAGCTTGGGGGGTTGGGCGAGGGGCTAACAACTCCTCACCGTAAAAATAATACTTTCTTACGAAAGGTTACACGTGGCCTCGGATGGATTCTTTGTAACGACCTAATTAACTAGATGGCTTACGGAACCCGAAGGTTCATCACCGAATTAATCAAAGCTCCCCACCGGTCCCCGTCCTGAGCCAACAAAATCCAATCTCATTCAACTCCTATCGCCCATAGATCCCTCCTGATATCCTTCTATCTACGTCTAGGTCTCCACAGTGGTCTCTTCCCTTCAGGCTTCCCGACCAATACCCGATGCACAACTCTTGCCCCACCCATGTCATTCGTTTTACTTAATCACCCCGATAATACTGGCGGAGGAGTACAAATTTTTGACCTTAATACGTCTATAAGGAAGGGTCATTCGGCAAAAAAGTGTAACGAAAAAGTGTAACTGCATTGTTATGCTACCTAGGAAACATCATCTGTTTACTAAGCATTGTTGTGTTTCATTACTGCCGTCAACAATCCGCTTTCGTTATTGCGGAAAGAGCTGAGCTGTGAATCGCTTGTAGAAGAAGTGCGTCGTGGACTAGGTAATTTTGTGCTGGTAAAAACGTTTTATAATATCACAAGTACTTATGTTGATGTCAAATCCTGAATGTAGTACTACTAGATTAAAATCTTGTATATATATAGTGTTTGCACGAAATGTTGATACTCTAAAGTGCACAAATTTTATAACATATTTCAGCTACCACAGACCCATCTTAAGCGTAACTAATTCAAGTTAAATAAGCAGTGTCTTAATCAAACTTTACTCAATTGTAAAGCATGTATAAAGTAAATATTAAGAATAAAGCCAATATATAAACTTCCTTTCCGTATAGACGTATTTACGTCAAATTCTCCGGAACCATGGTTCCACTATCAATTTTGACGTAAATACGTCTATAAGGAAGGGTCATTCGGCAAAAAAGGGGAACGAAAAAGTGTAACCTGGTTACCTAGGAAACATCGTGTTTACTCGGCATTGTTGTTACCTAGGAAACGTCATCTGTTTATTCGGCATTATTGGTACCTAGAAAACGTCATCTATTTACTCGGCATTGTTGTTACCTAGGAAACATTGCATTACATTTCATTACATTACTTTACATTGCATTCAGTTACCACAGACCCATCTTAAGTGTAACTAATTCAAGTTAAATAAGCAAAGTCTTAATCAAACTTTACTCAATTGTAAAGCATGTATAAAGGAAATATTTAGAATAAAGCCAATATATAATATATATGTTTTGTATATTTTAATCTTTAGGTTGGGTTGTTTGGAACGACATCAGGAGGGTAAAGAATCTGCCTGAGCATGTAGAGTTCCACTGAAACATTTTCCTCCATTTAGTTTCAATACAAACTATGGTATTCTGATAAAATGACTTTGATTATTTGTCCCCTCTGCTCTGTGCTAACAAGTAAATATTATAGTCTTTACTGTGGTTAGAACGAAAATGGCGCATTGTTATCCTTTTATTCTCTCTGTCTGTATCTAGTCGTTTATCACGTGATTGCACGTGAATCTACTGCTGAGCAAGAATGATGTCGAATAGTGATCGGGGTTTAGGTTTTAAACAAGCCTCAAGAGAACATGTTTTGGCAGTTACTAGGAATTTTGTATCACAGCCGCGAATCAGTAAGTGTTGCAAAGAATATTGTAGTTTTTGTTTGGATAATTTTGTAAGTTGTTGAAAGCTAGTATGCTATGGGGGAGTCAAGTGGCTAGGATTTGAAACGAGGTCAGTTTATAAAAGTGTTTTCTGGTTTAGTTCCTAATTTGTAAGATGTTTTAATTGGAAATTTTCATGATTAATAATCAGGGAAGTGAGTCACTGTATGTCTGGATGACAATTGTCAGTTTCAGTTTATATGAAAATGGCCGGAAAATCAAAAGTTGAACATTCTTTACTTTCCTCGTTCTTTCATTTGTTCTGATAGTTTAATCGCCCGATGTTTCCAGAGTACTAGGCACTATACCTTTAGTTTCCTAGGGCATTTTTTTCTTTCAGAATTATGTAGCAATTGTAACAGTCTTATTGTATACATGATACATATTTCTTCCATTTATTTATTTCTTCACTCTTTTTGGATGTACAGGCTATATTCCTGGCTATGCTTTCCTTCTTTCTCTTGTCTTCCTCACACACCTTCCTTGCCACTCTTGTGCAACACACCATCCACTGCCCTTCTCCTGTTTTGATCATGTTCTATAAGAATGAATGCCTGTCACCATTGATATATGATGAAAGAAAGTAACAAAGTTGCAAAGATCTATAAAACACTTGTATTATGTCTTGTACAATATTTTTAAAAGATTTACTGTGTTTGAAATAATTATTTGTATAATAACAATACGTAGTAAGAGTGTGCCTTCAAAAACATTTTCCAACATGCCTGTAATGCCAACCTCCAGTGTTTATTTGCTCATTCTTCATAATGATACAGATTATAATTTTCAGCATATAAAACTGTGTCTGGTGTAAATGGGCCATTGGTAATTTTGGATGAAGTAAAATTCCCCAAATATGCTGAGATCGTGCAGCTTCATCTTAATGATGGAACTATTCGATCAGGGCAAGTTCTGGAAGTCAGTGGGTCAAAAGCAGTAGTTCAGGTAAGTTCCAGTATATCTCAAAATATTTGTACAAATCCAGGTGCCATTATATTTATTCTCCTTTCCTTGTAAATAACAATTAGGCTTGTAGTATCATCTCCATATGTCCATTTTTCTCCCTTAAAACCAATTGATGCACGGTCTTAAAATTTGATGTGAGTGGACATTATGCTGTCCCACCTTTCTACATTTAATTTCCCGCTATCAGTAAAGCAATGTGGTGTCCTTGTATGCTTTTGAGATGAGAGCTCACGTAATCAACCTAACATATGAAATTCAGATTTAAAATAAAGAATTTATGCAAATAAACTAAATACTAGGTTAACTCTTTGGAGTTGAACAGGAAAAATGAAACACCACTTGGCCTTGTAATGTACTTCATATAGGTGGCATGTAGTAACAATTATTTTTATGGTTTTTAGTATCTCATACACAGGTGCAGGCTGGTTCACAGTCTCCTAACAGGTAAGTTTGTGACTTGAGAGAATGGACTTTGCCAAGTTCCTTTAACAGGCAAAACTGTGGCCATCATAAAACAGTAAGAACTGTAACCATGTTAAAATGTATTGATGTTGGTCTTCTGGTTTGTAATGTGATGTGGACTTGTAGCTAGACAGATAGGTAGATACCATCTTCAGCCTTGAAGGTGGAGGTAGTATGTACCTGCATGTCCATACATCATTGCAACCCAGAAGACTAACATTGACATCAACACTGCCATAAGAACCTCAAGTCCCATATCAGAGCATATCATAGTGCCACACCCAGTTTACTGGTCACCATGTTGTCAAAATATATTTATCTTCATTGTTAATTACATTCCATACAGGTTTAAGCTTGTTCTTCCCAAAACTGGTTGTTTTAGAGAAGTGTAATAATTATTTTGGTTTGGCACATTAAAGGTATTATGTTTTATTAACAATTTATTTTCCTGGAATTCACTCGTCACGATGTCTTCGTCTGTGTTGGTTGTTGACTGGTGCTTATGTATGTACCAGTAGCATATCACTAAACTGTTTAACCTCTGTTCAAGTCCACCTGATAGTACGGAGATTTAAATCTCTTATTCCCGTACAATAAATGTTAAAATCTTGCCTTATGGAAAAGCCTGGGGGGTGAATTTGGTGAAGGAAGGGTTTGATGTTGAATGTTGTGATATTTTATAGGAATCTGATAACATTGCATTCATATTTTGTATGACAGTAATATTATATTATTAAGAAGTGTTGAAAAGTGTACAAATTATTGAAGGTTTAGTCTGTGCTGTTCGTGTTAAGCAGTGTTTATTTAAGAAATTTGCTTTCAGGTCTTTGAGGGCACATCCGGCATAGATGCGAAAAACACATTATGTGAGTTTACAGGAGACATCTTGAGAACTCCCGTGTCGGAAGACATGTTGGGCCGAGTGTTTAATGGAAGTGGTAAACCTATTGATAAGGGACCACCAATTTTAGCAGAAGCCTATTTGGATATTCAAGGTAGGTGCAGTAGTTTGATAATAGGAGATGAATATAAATGTGAAGTCGGAACAGGCTTTAATGTTTGTACCGTGATTTTAAGGAGTTGGTGAAAGTATTTGTCACGGAAGAGTAGCACAGTTGAAACCCAATTACCACCTTACTTACCTGAGATAGTTACTGCTGAAAGTGGTGTCTTACAATATTCAAGAACGTTATTCCATATTGACGACAAATTCTGTGACATGTTTACTTTATATGATTTCTAAAGTAACATGGATTTTAAACTGTAAAACCTCAAGGTACTGGACTTCAGTACCCTGAGGGCGAGGAATGTTGGTTTTTTTCGCCTCTCAATGACCTAACATGGCTGGTAGTCTGAGGAGAATTTATTATACTTCATCGCCATGAAAGCTCCAGGTCATACATCACTAATCTTCATGGGATGGACAGTGTCTGTCTATGAACAGACGATAAGCAGCAAACAAAGGATTGACATAAGATGGCTGTCTTCATCAGCCCTGATGATGGAGGTAGCAAGTACCTCTGAAACATTGGTAAACTTCTACCAGAGTACACGGCGCAACAACCCAGAAGACAGCCATCGTTGGACTCATTGCTGTGATAACCTCAAATTCTATAAAAGATTGACATCTCTTCACACTCTAAGTCTGAAAATTATTGTATGTGAATTAATTCAGGAGTGGTGATTTATTTTGTAAAAAGCTGCTTTTCATAAAAATTGTCTGTACTCATTGCATTAGTCTGTTATAACGGTAAATTGGATGATATTCTGTTTTCTTCACTGAGTGTAGATTCTGCAGCTCCGTGTGAAGGTAATGCTTGACATTTTGTACCTGCAGGACAGCCAATCAACCCATGGTCTCGTATTTATCCTGAAGAAATGATTCAGACAGGAATTTCTGCTATTGATGTGATGAACTCCATTGCCAGAGGTCAGAAGATTCCGATCTTTTCAGCTGCTGGTTTGCCACATAATGAGGTGGGTGCCTTTGCAGTACATGTGTCAAATGTTGCTCTGTGAAACTATTCACCGTGTGTGTGCACACGCGAGTGCATGCGGGTGGGTCCTTTTATCTGCCTGTGTTAACTTCTGAACCAATTCAAACACTTTTCTGGCATTTTGTGTATTCATTATTTCATTGGTTGTATGTAGTTCATTACCCTAAATAATACTACTGTTGCAGCCATGTGAACTTTTGATGTTGGATTCTCAAATTATGTAGAATCCTGAAATATTATGTGATAGTAACAACATTTAAAAATTTGCAGCCTCCTTTTATTTTTTGGGCTGTAAAATTGCATTGCAGAATGCAAAATACATGTTTGATTGGAATGTCTGAGTATATAACATTTGCTATGGAGGTAAGTTATAAATATGCTTACAGATATTTTGTGACACACTTTCTTTAAAATTAAAGAAATGTACAAACATTGTGACTGTGCAGGTTGCAGACTTCTGTTATAGTGGAAAGTAATGCATATAAATAGTTTACAAAGTGTAATTATTTATAATTCATAGTATGAACATATGCCCTTTTTGCCAGGATGTAATTCAACCCAAGGTATAAAATGACAACTCAGGTTTTTAGTGCCATTATAAAGGCGTTTGGGGTAAGTGGAGGTATAGCTCCTCTCTTTCTTGACCTCAACACTAGATGGGGGTGAGTGGTCAGCATCACGCCCCGGCCGGCTCTACCCCCGGGAAAGTACCCCGGTACCCATTGTAGAGGAGGGTGAGTGGGCCCCAGAGCCGGTCTGGACGCAGAGGCTAGAGGAAAAATCCTCTGCCCCCGTCGGGGATCGAACCCCGGTCGTCCAGCCCGTAGCTAGTCACTATACTGACTGAGCTATCCAGGCTCATAATGCATGTCCGGTGTCGGTGATTATAAGGTCACTTCAATTTAAGTAGTGCATAAAGGCAGTAATTATTATATTGTAAATAAATATGTTTAGATATACTAATAATATATAGATCTGTAGACTCATATTTGTACCTGTCTGTCGCGTATTGTAAAGTAGAAAGACACTGCAGTGTTACTGGTCTGTAAATCAGAAGAGGTTAAGAGTCACTGAGATAGAAAACAAAGATAATTTCAGTATCTGTGTAAAATAAGTGCACAATTCTGGATTTTCAGATTGCAGCTCAGATTTGTCGTCAAGCCGGTCTTGTGAAGCTGCCTGGCAAATCAGTGCTGGATGACCATGAGGATAACTTTGCCATTGTATTTGCTGCTATGGGAGTCAATATGGAGACTGCCAGGTTTTTCAAACAAGACTTTGAGGTATAATATACAACTTGATTCTATAAGTAATAAAAGTTACTGGTGATAAAAGTTTTATTGTAAATTAAAACTGTAGTCTTGTGTCAGAGTGCCGTTAATGTTGGTTTGGCAACTTACTGTTCTCAAAAACTTAACTATAGCTGTCAGTTTTCACTTTGAGGTCAAATGTCACATTATTGCATCCTGGTGCATTCTATTTGTTACTTTTAAAATTATTGTCATTAAGGGATGTACATTGTTTTATGACTGAACTCTCATAGATGATATGGTTTCTTAAGTTACCAATATTTCCTGTCTGACTGACATGTAAAAGCAGAAATATTTAAATACAAATTGATTCAAATTTAAGTGCATGACCGTAAATAACAACTTATGCATATGAAGGAAGTTGATGAGGAATTACTTGCAGGCAGTGACTTTGATGTGGGTGGAAGTAACTGTTATGATAGTCGTAGTGGGTTTGAGCTTAGTAGCGTCAAGAAATGGGAAGAATATTTTAGTAGGCAAATAACATTATCAGAAAAAAAGATTGTTTTGGTAATACTGATAAAGTGATTGTGGTGAA